CAGGCTCAAATGCAGAAGGCGGTGCTCCTCGATACCGCCCGCATCGTCCGCCGGTTTCTTTCCCTTTCCCCCTAACCCTCGGCCGTTTGGTCTCCCCTGCCGAGGGCTTCCATCTGGTTGGGCTTTTATTTATTTATGTATTTTCATATTTATTTTATTTTATTGATATTTTTGTATGTTTATCTTTTCATTTTCATTTATAATTATATATTTATACATCCCAACCAGATGAGAAAACTATTTAGATACCCCACACATAATAATAATAAATAAAGGCGTAGGGAAGTGACAACCCATCGCCCGCTGACGTGACGGTTATGTGACAAAACCGCTACGTCCGCGCAGTCAGTCAGCACCATGCCAAGAGGTGTGAGCGACGTGCCTTGGCAAAAATTGATGGTGCAAGGGCCCGCTTGTGCATATGGCCTCACCATGAAACGGCGCCCGGTCTGGGCGTCTCCCGTTAAATGACGCCCTGTATGGATGATGGAACAAAGAAGATTGCGCAAAGGGCCGCTGCCTGGAGGTCGCCAGGGCGCGTCTGGAGCTGGCGCTGGACGCGACAGCATGCGAACCGCCAGCCGAGCGCGAGGTGCTGCACGACCACCCAGCAGCCCCTCGCATCCATCATCCCCACCAGCTTGCTTGGTGTCGGCAGGGTCTTCGCAGACCCAGCAATCGGCACCCGCCACTGGTGGAGTACGCCGCATGCGATGGACCATCAATATGAATACAAACGCATTGCGGGCGTATTTTAGGGCGAAAGGGGGAGAAATTGGAGGTTTCGCGTATCGGGCTAGGATGCATCGTCTTTTTACTGAGCTGGAGCCATCTATTACTGTCACCGAGCAAAACCTGGCAGACCGAGTTCGGTATTTCTTACGCTCAAATATATTTGATGGCGCCGAACTCGAACGGCTACGACGTGAGGCTGTTCCCTCATCAAATGAAAACGCTACGGCTGAGGGTGCGGTGCCACAAGTTGCTAGAACAACCCGCACATGTGGATGCCGCCGTGAATACCCCAGTGTGTTGCTGATTCAAATGATGATGGAACATTCGCCCAGGAACAAGAAATAGAGCAAATGGAATACATTGGAAGAGGCGATTGTGGAAACGCGCAGTACGCCTCTCGAAAATCGACCGCGACTTCCCCGCTTAGCCCTAAGCAAGCGGAATCGGGCTGTCGTGAGGGCTCTGAACCCAATGCTGGTTACCTATTTGTAAGCCAGTCGGGACCTTTGCGAGACGGACTTAATTCTCTTTGGCGCCGCACTGGCAGTCTGCCGTATTATAGGCGCCAAACTCTCCACGGCTGGACGCGCTACTGGACAAAGTAGTGCTATCCCAGCCTGGAGAACAAGAATTGAAGAACGTATCGCAAAGGCTAGGGCCCTCATCGGCAGACTGATATGCTTCAGGTCAGGCAATACCAGGCCAAGGATTGTGCGCACCGTCAGGATGGCGTTTGCTGGGACAAATGTTAGTTTGTCCGAGCCGGATATAATGCAAAAACTGACGGAGCGCATAGACGACCTGAAGCAGAGAATCGCTGCTTGGGGAAAGCGAATTCGGCGATATACCGAGAGGTCGACACGGTTCAACCAGAATCGTCTCTTCCAGAGTGATCAGAAGAGGCTCTATAAATCATTGGAGCGACCAATGGTAAGTGGAACGGGCCCAGTACCGAATCAGGCCGACACGGTTGCATTCTGGCGCAGCCTGTGGTCAGAGCCCGTAAACCACAACGAGGGCCCTTGGACGGTGCGGGTATTACGCCCATGGACCCCGTCACCATAACGCCGGATGACGTAGCTGAGGCGGTCCGTAGGGCCCCGAACTGGAAAAGTCCGGGACTCGACGGGCTGCATCACTACTGGCTGAAGGGGTTCGTGGTGTGTCACTCTGTGCTCGCCCGACAGTTTCAAGAGGTTCTCAACCAGAAGTCGCTCCCGAGCCTCTTCACTACTGGGATCACTCATTTGGTTCCTAAAGGCCAGGGTACCACAGACCCGAGCAAATACCGCCCCATTACGTGTCTACCGACCATATACAAGACACTAACATCCATTTTGAGCGCGAGAATCGCTCGTCACCTGGACTTAAATCAGGTGATGTCGCGCGCTCACAATGGATGTCGGGGCGGTGGTCGTGGAACCAAGGAACCACTCCTCATTGACGCGGTCATTGGCAAAGTGGTGAAACGCAACCGTCGGAACTTCTCCGCCGCCTGGATAGATTACAGAAAGGCATTCGACTCGGTGCCCCATACATGGCTAAAGAGAGTCCTCGAGCTGTACAAGATATACTGTACAGTTAGAGACTTCCTCGAGCAGTTTATGGGGCAGTGGAGTACGATCCTTTGTCATCTGGGCGAGCAGATGACGGCTGCGGAGAGCCGCATAAGGATAGGAAGGGGTATCTTCCAGGGCGATTGTCTGAGTCCAATCTGGTTCTGCCTCTCTCTGAACGCTCTCAGTACCTTACTGGAGGGCTCCGGGAGGGGATTTCAGCTACGGAAAGGAGGGACAAAAGTGACCCACCTTTTCTATATGGATGACCTCATGTTATTCGCCTCCAGTCGCTCCCATCTTATGGAATTGCTAAACATCACTTGTGAATTTAGCAATTCCATTGGACTGGAGCTGGGGACGGATAAGTGTGCGGTCCTCCATGTTGAGAGGGGTAGGGTTGCTAACTCTGAGGGCATAGACTTATCTATGCCCGTCAACTTAAGGACCCTTTCCGAGGCTGAAACATACCGATATCTGGGTATGTCACAGAACATCGGTATCGATGAGGCTGATATGAAACAGTCAGTTTGCGACGTGTTTTATGCACGCTTGACCAAAGTGCTTAACAGCCTTTTGTCCGGTGTGAATAAGACACAAGCATATAACGGCTGGGTCATGCCTGTCCTCGTGTACACCTTTGGCATACTCAGATGGACTCAGACTGAACTTAACGCCCTGGATAGAAAAGTCCGCACTACCATGACGTCCCACAGGATGCATCATCCGAGATCGTCGGTAATGAGGCTGTACTTGCCACGAAAGCATGGTGGGCGTGGCTTCTTGATCACAGACAGGACTATTCTTGCGAATAAGCCTGATATTGTGCTGATGGACCGGGCACAGTCAAGGATATTTTTAGTCGACATTACCATTTCGTATGACGAGAACCTCGTGAAAGCCGAAACAGACAAGAAAACAAAATATCTGGACCTGGCTCACGAGGTGACCTACATGTGGGGTGGGCTGCCGACCGAAATTATTCCTGTAGTCGTCTCTGCAAACGGGCTAATCCCAGTCAGCCTCTCGGGTCATCTGAGGCGGCTGGGACTACGTGGCGGACCGCTCCAGGTTCAAATGCGGAAGGCGGTGCTCCTCGATACCGCCCGCATCGTCTGCCGGTTTCTTTCCCTTTCCCCCTAACCCTCGGCCGTTTGGTCTCCCCCTGCCGAGGGCCTCCATCTGGTTGGGCTTTTACTTATTTATGTACTTTTATATTTATTTTATGTTATTGATATTTATGTATATTTATCTTTTCATTTTCATTTATAATTATATATTTATAGAACCCAACCAGATGAGAAAACTATATAGATACCCCATAATAATAATAATAAATACGAAATCTTGAAATCAAAACTAGGACTACCATAACTAAACACAAATATTTGCATCCTAAATCGGCAATTGAACGACTTACGATAAAAAGAGGTATAGGAGGCAGGAGTCTAATCGATCTTAAAAGGTTATGGGAAGGGCAAGTCAAAAACCTGCAATCTTTCTTTTATGAAAAATCAGCTAATAGTCCGTTACATCAAGCAGTCATTGAATCAGATAACAATTATACCCCTCTAAATCTAAGTAATCAAGGTAATAGATCTACTACAGTAATTGATCATGAAAAAGGAAAGCTATCAAAGTGGCGTAGTAAAGAATTACATGGTAGACATGCACACGATTTATAACAACCTCACATAGACTTGCTGGCTTCAAATAAATGGTTAAAAATAGGTTCTCTTTTCCCCGAAACCGAAGGTTTTCTTATTGCCATTCAGGATCAAGTAATCAATACAAGAAACTATAAAAAATACATATTAAAAGACCCAAACATGCAGAACGATAGTTGTAGAAAATGCCACCGCCAACCCGAAACTATACAACATATTACCGGTGCTTGTCCCAGCCTAGTACAAACTGATTACACCCACCGTCATAACCAGGTTGCTAATTACGTTCATCAAAAACTTGCAAATAAACACAATTTAATCCCGAACCAAAAACTACTGCCGTACTATCAGTATACCCCCAAACCTGTTCTGGAGAGCGACAGTCACAGAATGTACTTTGATAGAGCTATTCTTACCGATAAAACAATTCATTACAATAGACCGGATATAACTTTAATTGATAAATTAAATAAAACAGTATATCTAATTGATATAGCGATCCCAAATACCCATAATATACAAAAAACCATTACTGAAAAAAAATCATAAATACACAGAATTAAAAGAAGAAGTAACTAGAATCTGGAAAATGAACAAAGTATATATTGTACCGCTGGTTCTCTCCAGTACTGGTGTGATCCCGAAATGTTTGTCTCTCTCCCTTAAACGATTAGATCTTCCTGAAAATAGTTATATTACCATGCAAAAAGCAGCCATCCTCAACACGTGCCGTATAGTCCGAAATTTTTTGCAAGAAGACATCTCGGATTTTGATTCCCAAATGGATACGCACTTGGCTTAGGCCCGTGAACATCTCTTAAAAACCAAGATTTTACAAAATCTTGAGAAAGAAAAAAAGAATAATAATAATAAAAATAATAATCTTTTCATTTTCATTTATAATTATATATTTATAGAACCCAAACAGATGAAAAAACTATATAGATACCCCATAATAATAATAATAATAATAATAATATATACCGAGAGGTCGACACGGTTCAACCAGAATCGTCTCTTCCAGAGTGATCAGAAGAGACCAATGGTAAGTGGAACGGGTCCAGCACCGAATCAGGCCGACACTGTAGCATTCTGGCGCGGCCTGTGGTCAGAGCCCGTAAACCACAGCGAGGGCCCTTGGACGGAAGTTGTGGCGAGTCAGTGTGCGGGTATTACGCCCATGGACCCCGTCATCATAACACCGGATGACGTAGCTGAGGCGGTCCGTAGGGCCCCGAACTAGAAAAGTCCGGGGCTTGACGGGCTGCATCACTACTGGCTGAAGGGGTTCATGGTGTGTCACTCTGTGCTCGCCCGACAGTTTCAAGAGGCTCTCAACCAGAAGTCGCTCCCAAGCCTCTTCACTACTGGGATCACTCATTTGGTTCCTAAAGACCAGGGTACCACAGACCCGAGCAAATACCGCCCCACCACGTGTCTACCGACCATATACAATACACTAACATCCATTTTGAGCGCGAGAATCACTTGTCACCTGGACTGAATTCAGGTGATGTCGCGCGCTCAAAATGGATGTCGGGGCGCGTGGTCGTGGAACCAAGGAACCACTCCTCATTGACGCGGTCATTGGCAAAGTGGTGAAACGCAACCGTCGGAACTTCTTCGCCGCCTGGATAGACTACAGGTAGGCATTCGACTCGGTGCCCCATACATGGCTAAAGAGAGTCCTCGAGCTGTACAAGATAGACTGTACAGTTAGAGACTTCCTCGAGCAGTGTATGGGGCAGTGGAGTACGATCCTTTGTCATCTGGGCGAGCGGATGATGGCTGCGGAGAACCACATAAGGATAAGAAGGGGTATCTTCCAGGGCGATTGTCTGAGTCCAATCTGGATCTGCCTCTCTCTGAACCCTCTCAGTACCTTACTGGAGGGCTCCGGGAGGGGATTTCAGCTACGGAGAGGAGGGACAAAAGTGACCCACCTTTTCTATATGGATGACCTCAAGTTATTCGCCTCCAGTCGCTCCCATCTTATGGAATTGCTAAACATCACGTGTGAATTTAGCAATTCCATTGGAATGGAGCTGGGGACGGATAAGTGTGCGGTCCTCCATGTTGAAAGGGGAAGGGTTGCTAACTCTGAGGGCGTAGACTTATCTATGCCCGTCAACTTAAGGACCCTTTCCAAGGCTGAAACATACCGATACCTGGGTATGTCACAAAACATCGGTATCGATGAGACTGGTATGAAACAGTCAGTTTGCGACGTGTTTTATGCACGCTTGACCAAAGTGCTCAACAGCCCTTTGTCCGGTGTGAATAAGGCACACGCATATAACGGCTGGGTCATGCCTGTCCTCATGTATACCTTTGGCATACTCAGGTGAACTCAGACTGAACTTAACGCCCTGGATAGAAAAGTCCGCACTACAATGACGTCCCATAGGATGCATCATCCGAGATCGTCGGTAATGAGGCTGTACTTGCCGCGGAAGCATGGTGGTCGTGGCTTCTTGAGCGCGCTCACCATGCATAATCGCAAAGTGTGCAGCCTCCGTGATTACTTCCTGACGAGATCGGATGATCCATTCTATAAGGACGTCATTTCTTGTGATAAAGGACTTACCCCTCTATCCTTAGCCAACGAGCAATGGCAAGACCCGGCAGTGCAGAGTATTTCCGACCGGGAGACCGTATGGAAGGAGAAGGAGCTCCACGGAAGGTTCTATAAGGCTCTATATAAGCCTTTCGTAGACACCGTAGCCTCCCTCCACTGGCTACGCTTTGGTGATCTCTTCGGGGAAACCGAGGGTTTTGTCTGTGTAATACAGGATCAGGTTATTAAGACCAACAACTATCGGAGATACATCCTAAAGGATGGCACCGTCGACATCTGTCGAGCTTGTCGCCATCCCGGTGAGTCACTTAGGCATGTTATCTCCGGTTGTTCGGCGCTTTCTAACTCTGAGTACTTGCACAGGCACAACCTAGTAGCCAGAATTCTACACCAGGAGCTCGCTCTGAAATACGGTCTCGTGGATCGGAAATTGCCGTATTACAAGTACTTGCCGGAAGCCGTGCTCGAAAATGATCGCGCCAGGCTCTATTGGGACCGGGCCATCATCACAGACAGGACTATTCTTGCGAATAAGCCTGATATTGTGCTGATGGACCGGGCACAGTCAAGGATATTTTTGGTCGACATTACCATTCCGTATGACGAGAACCTCGTGAAAGCCGAAACAGACAAGCAAACAAAATATCTGGACCTGGCTCACGAGGTGACCGACATGTGGGGTAGTCTGCCGACCGAAATTATTCCTGTAGTCGTCTCTGCAAAGGGGCTAATCCCAGTCAGCCTCTCGGGTGATCTGAGGCGGCTGGGACTACGTGGCGGACCGCTCCAGGTTCAAATGCAGAAGGCGGTGCTCCTCGATACCGCCCGCATCGTCCGCCGGTTTCTTTCCCTTTCCCTCTAACCCTCGGCCGTTTGGTCTCCCCCTGCCGAGGTCCTCCATCTGGTTGGGCTTTTATTTATTTATGTACTTTTATATTTATTTTATGTTATTGATATTTATGTATATTTGTGTTTTCATTTTCATTTATAATTATATATTTATAGAAACCAACCAGATGAGAAAACTATATAGATACCCCAAATAATAATATTAATAAATAAAAAGGCGTAGGGAAGTGACGACCCCATCGCCCGCTGACGTAACGGTTATGTGACAAAACCGCTACGTCAGCGCAGTCAGTCAGCACCTTGCCAAGAGGTGTTAGTGCCGTGCCTCGGCAAAAATTGAAGGTGCAAAGGCCCGCTTGTGCACATGGCCTCACCATGAAACGGCGCCGGGTCTGGGCGTCTCCCGCTAAATGACGCCCACCACTATGGATGATGGAATACGGAAGAACGCGCAAAGGGCCGCTGCCTGGAGGTCGCCAGGGCGCGTCTGGAGCTGGCGCTGGACGCGGCAGCATGCGAACCGCCAGCCGAGCGCGAGGTGCTGCACGACCACCCAGCAGCCCCTCGCATCCATCATCCCCACCAGCTGGCTTGGTGTCGGCAGGGTCTTCGCGGGCCCAGCAATCGGCACCCGCCTCTGGTGGAGTACGCCGCATGCGTTGGACAACCCAGATGAACAGCAACGCATTGCGGGCGTATTTTGGGGCGAAAGGGGGAGAAACTGGATGTTTGGCGTATCGGGCTAGGATGCATCGTCTCTTTGCTGAGCTGGAGCCATCTTTAACCGTCACAGAGCAAAACCTGGCAGACCGAGTTCGGTATATCTTGCGCTCAAATATATTTGATGTCGCCGAACTCGAACGGCTACGACGTGAGGCTGTTCCCTCGTCGGATGAGAATGCTACGGCTGAGGATGCGGCGCCACAAATGGTAGAGCAACCCGCAAACGTGGATGCCGCCGTGAATACCCCAGTTGTGGTTGATTCGAACGATGATGGAACAGTCGCCCAGGAACTGGAATTAGAGCATATGAGGAGTACATTGGAAGAGGCGATTGTGGAAACGCGCAGTACGCCTCTCGAAAATCGACCGCGACTTCCCCGCATAGCCCTAAGCAAGCGGAATCGGGCTGTCGTGAGGGCTCTGAACCCAATGCTGGTGACCTATTTGGAAGCCAGCCGGGACCTTTGCGAGACGGACTCAATTCTTTTTGGCGCCGCGCTGGCAGTCTGCCGTATCATAGGCGCCAAGATTTCCACGGTTGGACGCGCTACTGGCCATAGTAGCGCTATCCCAGCATGGAGAAGAAGAATTGAGGAACGTATCGCAAAGACTAGAGCTCTCATCGGCAGACTGATATGCTTCAGATCAGGCAACAACAGGCCAAGAATTGTGCGCACCGTCAGGATGGCGTTTGCTGGGACAAATGTCAGTTTGTCCCAGCCGGATATAACGCAAAAACTGACGGAGCGCATAGATGATCTGAAGCAGAGAATCGCTGCTTGGGGAAAACGGATTCGGCGATATACCGAGAGGTCGACACGGTTCAACCAGAATCGTCTCTTCCAGAGTGATCAGAAGAGGCTCTATGAATCATTGGAGCGACCAATGGTAAGTGGAACGGGTCCAGCACCGAATCAGGCCGACACTGTAGCATTCTGGCGCGGCCTGTGGTCAGAGCCCGTAAACCACAGCGAGGGCCCTTGGACGGAAGTTGTGGCGAGTCAGTGTGCGGGTATTACGCCCATGGACCCCGTCATCATAACGCCGGATGACGTAGCTGAGGCGGTCCGTAGGGCCCCGAACTGGAAAAGTCCGGGGCTTGACGGGCTGCATCACTACTGGCTGAAGGGGTTCATGGTGTGTCACTCTGTGCTTGCCCGACAGTTTCAAGAGGCTCTCAACCAGAAGTCGCTCCCAAGCCTCTTCACTACTGGGATCACTCATTTGGTTCCTAAAGACCAGGGTACCACAGACCCGAGCAAATACCGCCCCATCACGTGTCTACCGACCATATACAAGACACTAACATCCATTTTGAGCGCGAGAATCACTTGTCACCTGGACTCAAATCAGGTGATGTCGCGCGCTCAAAATGGATGTCGGGGCGGTGGTCGTGGAACCAAGGAACCACTCCTCATTGACGCGGTCATTGGCAAAGTGGTGAAACGCAACCGTCGGAACTTCTCCGCCGCCTGGATAGACTACAGAAAGGCATTCGACTCGGTGCCCCATACATGGCTAAAGAGAGTCCTCGAGCTGTACAAGATAGACTGTACAGTTAGAGACTTCCTTGAGCAGTGTATGGGGCAGTGGAGTACGATCCTTTGTCATCTGGGCGAGCGGATGATGGCTGCGGAGAACCACATAAGGATAAGAAGGGGTATCTTCCAGGGCGATTGTCTGAGTCCAATCTGGTTCTGCCTCTCTCTGAACCCTCTCAGTACCTTACTGGAGGGCTCCGGGAGGGGATTTCAGCTACGGAGAGGAGGGACAAAAGTGACCCACCTTTTCTATATGGATGACCTCAAGTTATTCGCCTCCAGTCGCTCCCATCTTATGGAATTGCTAAACATCACTTGTGAATTTAGCAATTCCATTGGAATGGAGCTTGGGACGGATAAGTGTGCTGTCCTCCATGTTGAAAGGGGAAGGGTTGCTAACTCTGAGGGCGTAGACTTATCTATGCCCGTCAACTTAAGGACCCTTTCCGAGGCTGAAACATACCGATACCTGGGTATGTCACAAAACATCGGTATCGATGAGACTGGTATGAAACAGTCAGTTTGCGACGTGTTTTATGCACGCTTGACCAAAGTGCTTAACAGCCTTTTGACCGGTGTGAATAAGGCACACGCATATAACGGCTGGGTCATGCCTGTCCTCATGTATACCTTTGGCATACTCAGGTGGACTCAGACTGAACTTAACGCCCTGGATAGAAAAGTCCGCACTACCATGACGTCCCATAGGATGCATCATCCGAGATCGTCGGTAATGAGGTTGTACTTGTCGCGGAAGCATGGTGGTCGTGGCTTCTTGAGCGCGCTCACCATGCATAATCGCGAAGTGTGCAGCCTCCGTGATTACTTCCTGGCGAGATCGGATGATCCATTCTATATGGACGTCATTTCTTGTGATAAAGGACTTACCCCTCTATCCTTAGCCAACGAGCAATGGCAAGACCCGGCAGTGCAGAGCATTTCCGACCGAGATACCGTATGGAAGGAGAAGGAGCTCCACGGGAGGTTCTACAAGGCTCTACATGAGCCTTTCGTAGACACAGTAGCCTCCCTCCACTGGCTACGCTTTGGTGATCTCTTCGGGGAAACCGAGGGTTTTGTCTGTGCAATACAGGATCAGGTTATTAAGACCAACAACTATCGGAGATACATCCTAAAGGACGGCACCGTCGACATCTGTCGAGCTTGTCGCCATCCCGGTGAGTCACTTAGGCATGTTATCTCCGGTTGTTCGGCGCTTTCTAACTCTGAGTACTTGCACAGGCACAACCTAGTAGCCAGAATTCTACACCAGGAGCTCGCTCTGAAATACGGTCTCGTGGACCGGAAATTGCCGTACTACAAGTACTTGCCGGAAGCCGTGCTCGAAAATGATCGCGCCAGGCTCTATTGGGACCGGGCCATCATCACAGACAGGACTATTCTTGCGAATATACCTGATATTGTGCTGATGGACCGGGCACAGTCAAGGATATTTTTGGTCGACATTACCATTCCGTATGACGAGAACCTCGTGAAAGCCGAAACAGACAAGCAAACAAAATATCTGGACCTGGCTCACGAGGTGACCGACATGTGGGGTGGTCTGCCGACCGAAATTATTCCTGTAGTCGTCTCTGCAAACGGGCTAATCCCAGTCAGCCTCTCGGGTCATCTGAGGCGGCTGGGACTACGTGGCGGACCGCTCCAGGTTCAAATGCAGAAGGCGGTGCTCCTCGATACCGCCCGCATCGTCCGCCGGTTTCTTTCCCTTTCCCCCTAACCCTCGGCCGTTTGGTCTCCCCTGCCGAGGGCCTCCATCTGGTTGGGCTTTTATTTATTTATGTACTTTTATATTTATTTTATGTTATTGATATTTATGTATATTTATTTTTTCATTTTCATTTATAATTATATATTTATAGAACCCAACCAGATGAGAAAACTATATAGATACCCCATAATAATAATAAAATGTAATTAGAGCATATGAGGAGTACATTGGAAGAGGCGATTGTGGAAACGCGCAGTACGCCTCTCGAAAATCGACCGCGACTTCCCCGCATAGCCCTAAGCAAGCGGAATCGGGCTGTCGTGAGGGCTCTGAACCCAATGCTGGTGACCTATTTGGAAGCCAGCCGGGACCTTTGCGAGACGGACTCAATTCTTTTTGGCGCCGCGCTGGCAGTCTGCCGTATCATAGGCGCCAAGGTTTCCACGGCTGGACGCGCTACTGGACATAGTAGCGCTATCCCAGCCTGGAGAAGAAGAATTGAGGAACGTATCGCAAAGGCTAGAGCCCTCATCGGCAGACTGATATGCTTCAGGTCAGGCAATACCAGGCCAAGGATTGTGCGCACCGTCAGGATGGCATTTGCTGGGACAAATGTTAGTTTGTCCCAGCCGGATATAATGCAAAAACTGACGGAGCGCATAGACGACCTGAAGCAAAGAATCGCTGCTTGGGGAAAGCGGATTCGGCGATATACCGAGAGGTCGACACGGTTCAACCAGAATCGTCTCTTCCAGAGTGATCAGAAGAGGCTCTATAAATCATTGGAGCGACCAATAGTAAGTGGAACGGGCCCAGCACCGAATCAGGCCGACACGGTCGCATTCTGGCGCAGCCTGTGGTCAGAGCCCGTAAACCACAACGAGGCCCCTTGGACGGAAGTTGTGGCGAGTCAGTGTGCGAGTATTACGCCCATGGACCCCGTCATCATAACGCCGGATGACGTAGCTGAGGCGGTCCGTAGGGCCCCGAACTGGAAAAGTCCGGGGCTTGACGGGCTGCATCACTACTGGCTGAAGGGGTTCGTGGTGTGTCACTCTGTGCTCGCCCGACAGTTTCAAGAGGCTCTCAACCAGAAGTCGCTCCCAAGCCTCTTCACTACTGGGATCACTCATTTGGTTCCTAAAGGCCAGGGTGCCACAGACCCGAGCAAATACCGCCCCATCACGTGTCTACCGACCATATATAAGACACTAACATCCATTTTGAGCGCGAGAATCGCTCGTCACCTGGACTTAAATCAGGTGATGTCGCGCGCTCAAAATGGATGTCGGGGCGGCGGTCGTGGAACCAAGGAACCACTCCTCATTGACGCGGTCATTGGCAAAGTGGTGAAACGCAACCGTCGGAACTTCTCCGCCGCCTGGATAGATTACAGAAAGGCATTTGACTTGGTGCCCCATACATGGCTAAAGAGGGTCCTCGAACTGTACAAGATTGACTGTACAGTTCGAGACTTCCTCGAGCAGTGTATGGGGCAGTGGAGTACGATCCTCTGTCATCCAGGCGAGCGGATGACGGCTGCGGAGAGCCGCATAAGGATAAGAAGGGGTATCTTCCAGGGCGACTGTCTGAGTCCAATCTGGTTCTGCCTCTCTTTGAACCCTCTCAGTACTTTACTGGAGGGCTCCGGGAGGGGATTTCAGCTTCGGAAAGGAGGGACAAAAGTGACCCACCTTTTCTATATGGATGACCTCAAGTTATTCGCTTCCAGTCGCTCCCATCTTATGGAATTGCTAAACATCACGTGTGAATTTAGCAATTCCATTGGAATGGAGCTGGGGACGGATAAGTGTGCGGTCCTCCATGTTGAAAGGGGAAGGGTTGCTAACTCTGAGGGCATAGACTTATCTATGCCCGTCAACTTAAGGACCCTTTCCGAGGCTGAAACATACCGATACCTGGGTATGTCACAGAACATTGGTATCGATGAGGCTGGTATGAAACAGTCAGTTTGCGACGTGTTTTATGCACGCTTGACCAAAGTGCTTAACAGCCTTTTGTCCGGAGTGAATAAGACACACGCATATAACGGCTGGGTCATGCCTGTCCTCATGTATACCTTTGGCATACTCAGGTGGACTCAGACTGAACTTAACGCCCTGGATAGAAAAGTCCGCACTACCATGACGTCCCATAGGATGCATCATCCGAGATCGTCGGTAATGAGGCTGTACTTGCCGCGGAAGCATGGTGGTCGTGGCTTCTTGAGCGCGCTCACCATGCATAATCGCGAAGTGTGCAGCCTCCGTGATTACTTCCTGGCGAGATCGGATGATCCATTCTATAAGGACGTCATTTCTTGTGATAAAGGACTTACCCCTCTATCCTTAGCCAACGAGCAATGGCAAGACCCGGCAGTGCAGAGTATTTCCGACCGGGAGACCGTATGGAAGGAGAAGGAGCTCCACGGGAGGTTCTACAAGGCTCTACATGAGCCTTTCGTAGACACAGTAGCCTCCCTCCACTGTACAGCTGATCAGGTTTGTGCAATACAGGTGCAATACATTAAAGGATGGCACCGTCGACATCTGTCGAGCTTGTCGCCATCCCGGTGAGTCACTTAGGCATGTCATCTCCGGTTGTTCGGCGCTTTCTAACTCTGAGTACTTGTACAGGCACAACCTAGTAGCCAGAATTCTACACCAGGAGCTCGCTCTGAAATACGGTCTCGTGGATCGGAAGTTGCCGTATTACAAGTACTTGCCGGAAGCCGTGCTCGAAAATGATCGCGCCAGGCTCTATTGGGACCGGGCCATCATCACAGACAGGACTATTCTTGCGAATAAGCCTGATATTGTGCTGATGGACCGGGCACAGTCAAGGATATTTTTGGTCGACATTACCATTCCGTATGACGAGAACCTCGTGAAAGCCGTATCAGATAATCGAACAAAATATCTGGACCTGGCTCACGAGGTGACCGACATGTGGGGTGGTCTGCCGACCGAAATTATTCCTGTAGTCGTCTCTGCAAACGGGCTAATCCCAGTCAGCCTCTCGGGTCATCTGAGGCGGCTGGGACTACGTGGCCGACCGCTCCAGGCTCAAATGCAGAAGGCGGTGCTCCTCGATACCGCCCGCATCGTCCGCCGTTTTCTTTCCCTTTCCCCCTAACCCTCGGCCGTTTGGTCTCCCCTGCCGAGGGCCTCCATCTGGTTGGGCTTTTATTTATTTATGTACTTTCATATTTATTTTATGTTATTGATATTTTTGTATGTTTATCTTTTCATTTTCATTTATAATTATATATTTATACAACCCAACCAGATGAGAAAACTATATAGATACCCCATAATAATAATAATAATAATAAATATTTTTTCATTTCCAATTACACATGTTTACATACAGGAATAAATATGATTACAATTAAATAAAGTAACAATAAGTCTAACAAAAATAACATACTATGATAAAATTAAAACTATGTGTAGCTTAATAATGTAAAATATACAAAAGAAAAATAAAAAAGTCAAGTTTATAATATTAGCTACCTGCCTGAACTAGGTTGAATACCTGTGTTTCAGACATCACTTAAACAATGTGTTTAATAATGTAGGACACTAGATATTTAAATAATTAAACTATATTATATAATAAATAAAATAACTAAATAACAAAATAACAATTAATTGTTACCTACAATTAATACAAACTATTTTAGAATTTCTAACAACTTCTCCGTGTCCTCGTAATTTAATTTATTTAGAATTCCCTTACACTTATATTACAGTTCTTATAACTTAGACTATATACCTTTAGTGACTTATTGAGCTTGTTGTATAGAAAGGGTCCTAAAAATATGTAAAATTTGTTCACAAATGCGTGTTTGGTTTGAGGGTTTACACAAACTAAGTCCATTCTTCTCCTGTCTATGGATTTTAAGTTAAATTGAAGTTCGGTATGCTGTTTTAATATGATGTTCAGGATAAACAACTGACGGACAGTTAGTACACTACATGCCAAGTAAATTTGATGTGTAGGAAACATGAATGGACGGAAAGTGGCTACCTTTAAAACTGCTCTCTGAGCACGTTCTAATGGGAGCAATATTGTTTTAGAAGCTCCACCCCAGGAAGTAATGCCATAAGTGAGTATGGATTGACACAAAGCTAAATAGACCTGTCTTATCAATTTGAAGTCAGCGATGTTACGAATATATTTAAAAATATATATTAATTTACGAACTCTAGCACAAAGTAAATCGATGTGCTTGCGGAAATTTAAATTTGTGTCAAGCGTGATACTTAGATATTTTATGTTGTCTGTTTTTGTTAATGCGGAAAATGCACATGCAGTGTAGTGTAAAAAAAGTAGTAAAAGTAGTTTTAATCGGATGAGGCAAGTTGTTAGTTTCCAGGTATTTTATTAATCTGGTATTTATAATCTTTTCTAAAATTTTAGATAAGCCAGATAAGACTGAAATCGGCCTATAGTTACTAACTAAGTTTTTATCACCAGATTTGTAAATAGGAGAAACCACTGCTTTTTTAAGCACTTTCGGAAAAATACCATTTGCTAAGCATAATTGAAAGATATGTGTTAACGGGGCGGCCAGTAGATGTTTAAATCTTTTGAGTATGCGATTAGGTATATTGTCCCATCCAACTGCACAATCTACTTTTAACCCATTGACTCGACTCCCGATCTAATCAGATCATACAATACCTATCTTACGTCGGCTCTGGTACGGGTCGAATTAGATCAGGTCGGATCAGAAGTACTGCCTTATGAAAAAACTATTTTTTCCTTTAAAACAAAACAAAAAAAAATAGCGCCGCGCCAAACAACTATCGCAGGTACGCAATGCTGCTGAACGCAACAAGCATCAATACGATATATACGATACATCCCAGCAGACATCACCTTCCGAATACCTCCATTGACCAAAAACACAAGATGAGTCAAATCTGGCGCAGCCCACCCGCAGATAAATAATACCAACGTATCATATTAGCGCACTACTAAGACGCCAGTGAACAAAACTACACGTATCAAAGCGCTAATGCACTAAGACATGAATTTGAGTACGCTTGTACTCAAACTCATGTCTTAGTGCTGTGTTGTAACTTAAAAGTGCGACCAAACACACTTATCCCTATCCGAAAGATAGACGACGTATCGCTTTCGGATGCTTCCTACGCACTACGACGCCGTCCACAAACGGTATGGGTGTGCAATGTCCATGGGAAAGCCGTATTGATAAAACAAACCTGCTTACCACGGGCACCAAGATAATATATCTAGGACAATTCGGTTAGCGAGTACAAGTTTACCTCGGTCTCAGTTGCTCGTGAAGCAGCATACACGCTACTATAATAATCTTTTCAAGTCCCATTTCTAATAATATAATTCTTTTACATATTTGAGACCTTCCGCATATTTGATTTATTTCATCGACCTTACTTATATGTCTTTAATATATAGGACTTCAGTCCATAAATCTACTATCGTAATGCTTTTGCATTAAAGAGACCTTCTATAATAATGCTTTTGTGTCATATAGCTTACTATCATAAGTCTTTAATAGCTTCAACCCACAACTCTACTATTGTTTTTTTTTAGAAGTCTCAATTTATCTGCTGTTATTTATTTTACAGCACCATTTATTTCTGGGTGTTTGTAATTCTTCCATTTTTTTGTGTTTTCTGAGTTTTTTTTTATTTATATATATTTTTTTAAGTATTTAAATTTTTTTTACATTTTGTTGTTTACGGTATTTCGCGTATGTGTCCTTATAAATCCAAGTTACTAGCTATTTAACAATTTATCATTATGCCTGTATTAATTTGGCTATACATGTAATTGTTTATGTTATTTCTCTTGTTACATTTATTAACGTGTAATTAGCCAGTGATGTAATATAACATTTGGTCTTAACTTTGCCATACAATAGTAATTATCTATGCCATTTTTATTGTTATTATTATAACTGTGCTATTTGCTGGTATAACAATATATCATTTTATATTTGCTTAGCTAGCGTAACTCATAATTACATATGCTAATTGTTTTGTTACAATAT